GCGGTTTGTCATGTACCTATAGCCATTCATTCGTTAGAAAAATGGTATAAATTGAACCATGATAAGCTCAAAATAGTCAAAGTGCCAAGTGTTCTCACCAGATAAATGCAGTCTTTATGGCGTTTTCGTTGGCTGAAGTTCCACAAAGCATTGTTTGTACTGCCTGAAAAAAAAACTTTATAGTCCCGTCAGGATAGTGAATTTGAATAATCTCTGGGGTACCTTCAAACCCTTAGGCGCTATTGATGTGAGAGCTGCTTCAATGCCATCAGGGAAGTCGTTACGTGGGAAAGAGCCCAGCGCTGGTCTTGAGACAAGTGATGTCTGAAATATCAAAGAAGACTATTATGAGATCACATAGTCAATATTGTCATTTAGTCGAAAACGTGCTACCGCTTCAGCACAATCACGTATAAACTCAAACAAATACTTGATCAGGGTGGAAGAGGTATGGAAGGAGGCCATTTGATCCCCTCTTGGATGACATTAAGTACCGCTGTTCAAAATACAATGGAGATGATTTACCGTCAGAGCATGCTTACCTAATAAAGCGTAGAAGGCTATTTACCTCCAAATGTAGGCACATATCCCTTTGCCAGACTTAGTTCTTTAGTGTGCCAAATAGCTCTCTGATTCATAGTTGACTCCTGACAGCTCGATGATGCCTTATGAAGCCCGCGGTTTAAAGGGGCATTTTTTGTTGGGTTTCTGCATCTACAAGGTCAGATCAAATAAAATTTCCATACAATTATTCTCTAGAGAAATTCTTCACAATTAGAGACGGTTTTAGGCATCTGATAAAGTTCTTCACAAAGATTTTCTTAGATTCAACTGCACGAGATGAAAAATTCTGGGATTTAAACGTAGCCGTGCGACCACAAGTTGTCAAATTTTATCAGTTAGAGTCTACCGCTTTAATCACTTATAAACCCTTGCGTGTAAATAAAATTTGACAGCATCGATACTTATGCTAAAGCAAACTACAATAAAAGTGATGAGTCCCTGAACACAAGATTACCTTCGCAGCTGTGGACGAGGTACAGCGAATCAAGACTACGCCGCTGAGGTGCATACTACGCTTGCAATGGAAGATAAATAATGAGGAGCAAGTCTTTTTGTGAGAACTTTCTCACAAAATTTTATTGACAAAAACCGTCAGTAAAATAGTGAGTTGCTCATTCAAGACTTAAGTTTTTGATTACTGTATTTCGCGAAAGTAAAGGCTGGAATACCTCCCATCGCAGAGAATATAAGATATATCTAGGGCGATCAACAAAATTGGACAACGAATTGACGGAAGACCAAGCAGAAAAGAAGAGAAGAAGAGCAGTGCTGACGCCGGGTTGGTTTCCAAAAGATGCCACGAACAACTGACAAACCAAGTTGTGTTGCTCTCTACTGTTCAACTCG